CAGGAAGAAGTCCCCGATCACTTGCAGTGTGGGCCCCTCTGATATCATTTCATTCCTCTCTGCACCTGTCTGTGCAAACTTTGGCAGAAAATGTTGGTCTGAATCTATTTTATTTTTCCAGCAACTTGCCTGGTGCTAGATATGTAGTGAGTGTTCAATAAATGTTTGTTGACTACATTATACTGATGGGAAAACACCACTAGGTTTACTGGAGAAGTCAATACAACTCATTAAGCCTTGTCCAGCTGGAGCACGTCTGCTTGTCTCTTTCTTAACATAGAAAGACAGAGGTTTTATATACTTTAAAAATTTTCACTATTGTCTTTGAAACAACCACAGTTGTTTCACTGTAACTTCTTCAGATAAATAAATCATACTTATATCTCTTCCTCAAGGTTAATTTCAAGAAACAAAACTATTGATATATCAAGTTCCTTTCAAAATCAACATTGGAATCTAACTGCCAGTGTCTGAAGGCAGGCAGGACCTGATGTTACCCAAGGATTAGAAGGAGGAGTGGTAGGCATTTCACAAACATGAGCACACCCCAAACACACACACCAACTCTGAGTCTCTCATTCATTCATTCGCCTCTAACTTTAGTATGTACCAAGCAGGACTACTTGAAAATATTTTTATCCCAAGGCTATTTCTGCAGGTGTCAAGATGGCCTTGCAACTCGAGCTTAATGCCCTGGCTGTAGAAGATAAGTTATCACACAGTTCAAAGGCAGTTAGCTCCCCTAGTTTGTGCTTTTGTCTGTGGTAAATGTGTTTGCCTTCAATGCTTAATCTGAAACTACTTATCAGTGAAACGGCAGGCAAGGAGTTGGGGCCGTGGATGTTTAGCTGTGGCTTCACAGAAGGGTGTGTCACGGGCAACGTCCTGTCTAAATACACTTCGTATTTAGAAAACACTTCGTGCACAGAGACCTCGTCATCACGTCTCCCCGAGTCTTCCTGACTTCAGACACATCATCCGTCTCCTCATTCCATGCCCTCGCTGAGCTGAGTATGTTATTTTAGAAAATCAAATAGAAGCTTTGCTACCTCTGAACATGGAGTTTATTTCCAATGGGCACCTCTGCTCTCCTTCTATATTTAAAGAGGGCTGTCTAGCAATTATACTAACTTGACTCCAGAATCAAATATTTAGGGCAGCAAAACCATGTCTATTTCAGGCTTTGCAGCTGACGTACATTCTTAGGATATACAGGACAAACACAGTATTTCATTTCAAGTTCCTAAAAAGGGAAATGACCATGAGCAAAATGAAAAGGCTTTGCTTCTACACACAACACGCAGTTGTAGCTAGCCAGAGTTTGGGCAGCTGAACCAGGCCATTAATAAGTCTGACACAGCCCTGTGACTGAGGGCATTTAAAAGGTTAACGTATTTCAGCCCTTCACAGGGGCATAAAGAGGTGTATCTACAAGGTTATTAATACATTAGTTGAGCCCCTAATTATTATCCTTATGGCTCTTATCAAAAACAGCAAGAGGTAGGCAAGAAGTGGGTAATTACAGTATGAACATAAGGAGATGGGTTTTTTTTTTTCTTTTCAGAAAGCTTTCCATCAGCATAATGACCAAAGTATATGGGACCCATTTGGAAATGCATTAACCAGATGATGTGATTACTAAGTCACTTATTTAATTAGCTCTGTTCACCAAAGATGAGTGCGATCCAGACTTCCCTCTCTCTACTCTACCCACCCCCAGGTGGAAACTGTCCTCTTTTTCCTCCAAACAAGCAGCCACTCATCCTCCACTATCCAGCTCTGCTCTGCTCGCTGTTCAGTGACACTTCTTCCTCTAACTCCCTCAAAGGACGATCCATCCCATCCTCCGTTTGTCCATCCATCTGTTCATCCATCCTTCCATCCATCTGCCCATCAACCTGATCTTTTATGTCTTTCCAAAATAAAATCGAGTTGGCTGACAACTACCTAGCAAAATGGAAAGCATATTTCTCATAAAATTGAATTTCTTTTAGGTTAAGATTTGTACTTGCTACACAACTTAATGATCTAGACTAAATGCTGGTGCATCCATTGATATTTAGATTAAAGATATAAAAATATTAATTTAGACACCTATAGTAAAATAAGATGCTGAGACATAAAGGTAAATGAGAAAAAAATGGAAAGTGGATTGCTGATGTAGAGTAAACCATTGGTTTTATATCCCAGAGAATGAGATTCACACCCAAATCCGTGACTTGCTCTGGGAACACCAGTCAGGTACAGAAGTCTCCTTAGTTTATATTCTTGTCTGTAGAATGAGAAAATCTTCTGACAGACCTTGGAGGATTTTTGTCAGTGTTAAATGTGATTATAAATAAACATAAACCACTGAGTCCAGTTTCTAACCCAAAGGGCTCAGAAGGTCATATGTTTTCTTCATTGTGTCTCACAGCATAGATATGAATGAAGGAGGAGGAAGTCTGGGGGGGACTATGTCCAATGAAAACACTTTTGTTGGGGTGATGAATTGATGCATGATTCTGTTTTCTTTTTTCAAAATTTTTTGTCATGTCGCATCACTTCTTTTTAACACAACAAAATATATTGGAAAGTTCTCAACCCCTGCCCCAGCCCTGAAGCCCACACGTACACCCTGCAATGCGCCGGAGCACGAGGCTCCTCTCCCAGTCCTCCTGCCTGAAGCCGGGAGGGGAGGCGAGGGGAGGGCCGTGGCGGGGCCTGGGCACTTCCTGCCTCTTCATCTCAGCCAGGCCGACTGATTGCAACACTCCAAAGCCTCTTGCTGTTCCCAGCCTTTGAGTATCTTGCTGAACTGCTGTCCAAGGGCACATTTTTTCCCTCTCAAACAGACCTGCAAGGTTGCTAAGCACAGACAAGGATAAAGAGAGACTCGGGTTGCTCAATACTTGTTATGCAAAGTCTGTTTTTTTAAAAAATTGCATCATATCCCCTCTGCTGATTGTGCAACTCGGGGTGGGCACCTAAACTGAAAGTGAAGTGATTCTGAGCTCTAGGCACCTTTGCCGTTGCGACATCAATTTACGTTCAAGTGGAAACTATTCAGCTGTTCTCAGTTTTTAAAAAAAATGATTGTGTAGAAAGCCAATGAAAACACATATTAACATATACATAACATACACATAGAAAATTCCCCATTCTTTCTCAGATGCTTGGTGCATTATATTCATGTGATGAGTGTACACGGGATTAGTGTTTGATCTCTTCTAAACAAAATGCCTCCTAACACTGCTGATTCACTCAGGGTTGTCTCTTCATACAAGAGCACCCACGGTGAAATTGCCCCGTCTAGGTTCAGATCCTGCTGCTGCCACTGACTGGTGGATGACCTTGGGCAAGTGACTTCCTCTCCTGAGTGTGATTTCCTACATCTTTCAGATGGGAATGATCATCCTTAAGTCAGTGACTAACAGGGATGAGGCCACAGCCTGGCAGAAGATGGGGGTTAATACAAGTGAGTTTCCCAACTCTCAACCTTCCTGTCCCTACATTTTCCGTGATGATCAGCCCTGTGCCACCCTCACCAACTGGAAACCCCTTCATCCCAGGACTGACACAGGTACAGGGTAGGGTCAGGCTTCGGTACCGCCCTTCAAAGTGATTCCTAGAAAAGCAGATGCCAAGGCGTCTGAGACAAAAGTTCCCAGAGCCAGAGTAGAGCAGGAGGTATCGAGGGAGAGGACACAGGGAGAGATTCTTTCACAGTAAGAAAGCCCAGAAATTTCTGAGCCAGAGCTGGGCTTGCATCTAACTGCATACTATGAGCAAGGCACCCGACTAGGGAATTCACACTGTGTCCCCCCCAAACCAAAAACCATTGCATGATTTTTTTACATGGGTGCTGCTCTGCTCAGTGTTCTCCTAACTTGGGGTGTCATTTACCCTCCATCCATAAAATGTGGCAAACGTCCCATGCTTCTTGATTGTGTGCTCTGTGGGGAAGGTGGGCAGGGGAAAGGAATGGGACCGGGTGGAGGAGGTTAAGGCCTAATGACAAAGCCCAATGTGCTAGTTTTTCCAACTTAGAATCTTATGTGCACGTCAGAGAACCTTGTGGTGCATAATCACACACCTCATGCAAGAGAGGTGCGTTTTCGATTAGACAAAGGACTCAATGTTTTGTGCAGATTCAACATTGGCACTTTGAATAAAATGGATGCTTTTGTGCTGAGGTTGAGGGAGAAACTCAGACAACCCCCAGCTGGGGAGTTTCCACAAGAATCGAAGTGTATTGTTCAGTCGAGAGCGTGTCCCCTGGCCAGCCCACCCTCTAGTACACTCTCCAGTGTCTCTGGCATGAGAAACGTGCACCCCTATTCTCAAAGAGCAAATGCCAGGCAAATGACACATTTTCCCAGGAGAGGAGGGGTTTAGCGTGGCTGGGACAGGCCAGGGCGCAACCAAGCTAGAACATTTTTTCAGAGTGGACTGCTTGATTCCTATGTGAGTTCAGCGGTAAGTACATGTTTTTGAAACTTATTGTTATAGAACAAATAAACCTGAAATGAAGTTTCTATGCAAACAAATATGACATCACCAAGAAACTGAGGATCTTGGGCATCCTTCCAAAAATGGTAGTACTTTGACAACCAGATGCACTTTACACTCAAAGTCAATTTAGTGACTGTGCTTCCAGAAACAATATAAGAGAACTTTTTTTTTTTTACTTTGAAATTGAACCCGAGTATTTCAAGTGCAGTTGTTATAGAAGGGATCATTCTGATAAATAGAAGATAATTAACCTTTCAGGGTATTTATTCATTCAAAAATATTAAACAGTGCTATTCATTGATAGTATATATATATATATATATACAACTTAGTCATTTGTAAATGGAGAGAAATTTGTCCATATCTTTCATTATTAACTTACTTATTCAGTCATTTCTGGTCTTCATATGGGCTCGTTGATCTTTATTTTGTACTTTGGTTTTAACCCTATACTTCTTTCTTTTTTTTTTTTACTTTTTAAAATTTATTTTATTTTAATTTCCCCCCCATGTTTCCCCCTTCACAATACAGATCAGGCAAAGGGCCTGGGCTGAGGTGTGTACGCGGTGGGTTTGCTCTTTCTCCTCTCTCTGTGCAGGCTGCGTGAGAACACAGCCTGTGGCAAGTACCCAGAGGCCTGACCCTTCACTTCTGTAATCATTTTGTTGTCTCCGTCATTTCAGCTTTGGCCATTGGGAGCTTTTTCACTTGGGTCCTGTGTCCCAGCAGCACCCCCATTCCTGTGTGTGTGTGTGTGTGTGTGTGTGTGTGTGTGTGTGTTGAGACTTCTTTGCTTTCTGGCATCATAAGATGCTGCCAGCTCACTTTGAATATTCCTGCTCAAGTCCCAGAATCAGACATTTTTCTCCAAGAAGCCTTGATTACTGTTACTGATGAATAATGTTGGGAACAAATATCTGGGCCTCAGGATTGTCATTATTTCTATGCCCTCCCAGCTGAGAGAGCAAGGAAATACATATGTGTATATCAACCCACTTATATAAACTTATCTCTGAATATTTACCTAATTATCTATAACTCCACTCAGCTAAAAGTGAGTTTACACTCATGTCTCATCTCTAATCCATTGCCACATGGATTGTCGTCTCCTTTGCTTATCAGCCGCCTTCCACTCCAACAGTGAGGAACCCACTCCCGACCACCTAACATCCAGTTTCTTAATTGTTCAGTTCCAGCATCAGCAATGTTAACCTGGACCTTCGTGGCAAACAGTGTTATCAACTGTAGTGTAGTTTTCTCATGTAGTTTCTTTTGCTTTTATTTTTACTGTCTCCACTCATTTCCAAAGTTAATTAGGGTGGTGCCTTTCACCTGGTGCCCTTCAATGAGGTTGTCTTATACTCTTGAAATAAAATTAGATCATTTTGTGACAGTCGGCATTTCTTGCTGGAACTAAGGTTCCTGAACCAACCATTTCCAAAATTTTTAAAAGTCATGCATAAATCAAGATTTATTCTTTGTGCTGTAAATGTTGAAACTTTCTATTCCAGGATCCTATCCAGCTTTGCTAAAGCTGTTATTTTTCAAAAAGTCTCTTCCAGTTAGTGAAAGTGCCTCAGTCTTTGTTTCTTATGATAAGGGAAAGTATTAATGGTACATGCTGGGTATGGGAAGCGTGACGCAACCCACCCCCAACACACACACACACACACACACACACACACACACACACACACACACACACACTATGATCTCCACTACCCAAAGAGAGATATGACCAGAAAAATATCAGAAAATACTCTGCTTAACTTACCAGTCACCAAGGGATTCTAGGTCATTATTTCCCAGATACTTCCCCCACCATTTAAAAGTATATCTTCCATAATAGTCACCCAATATTTAAAACAAGGGGTAAAGACATTGACCACAAAACAATAAATTCTCTGAGGCAGAATTTTCCTGCATCAAAGGGTCTGCTCTCTTGGATCTGAGTAAATGGTACCTCATCATGTTGTAGGTATGAACACAGTCCCTGCCTTCTAGTTCTAACCCAGCTCATATTTTGCCAACTCTTCTTCTTCCTCCCGCCCGACATCTAAACAGACTGAGTTTGCAGGAAGTACTCAGATATGAGTGGTTTAGAGGCACAAGGCCACTAGTATCCCAGCTGGAGTACTAGAAATACAAGTGTTCCAGGAGAAGACGGACACAGTGAGGATCCACCGTGTCTGAAGGAAGGAAGAGCCATCATTGAGGACAGGACTTCATTTTCCCCATTTCAGGGGCCCACAGTAGGCTTGCAGAATAGACTGAGAAGACATCTTCACTGCAGGAGATGAAGATGTCACCTTCATCTCGTAACCTTCTGCTCAGGAGATGCTTGGACTTGGAGACTGATGTCCCTGAGCACAGATGCAGGACATCACATTCTGGGCTGACTTCTCATATTGGTTAGTTTTGTCACCTTTACCTTGCCAGCAAAATGAATGACAGCAAGGTCCTGAAAAGGAAGAACCCCTTATCTTTGCAGACAGAAAGCAAGAGGGACTCTGGCGAGAGAATCCCCGCACTTCACAGCTGGGGTTACAAAGGGTGATGGCTGCTCCCAAGAAGAACCACCTGTCCTTTTGAGCCTGAGTGAAGATCCAAACCCTTGGTTTACCTCCATCTGGTAGCAGTCGCCACTTATTGACCACCTACCACATTCTTTACTTCAACATTTAATCCGTGACAACCCTGACAAATAAGGAATATAAATTCATTTCACACACAAGGATTTGAGACTCTTATAGGCTATGGAACCCTGAACTATGTAACCCGAGATTCCATTTCCTCCTCTGTATGCTGAGAATTCCAATCCCTGTCTCCTAAGGCTGTTCAGATTAAATGAACCACATGGAAAAAGCACTGAACATGTGTTATCAAACCCAGTAGGTACTTCAGTGCCTGGACTTCTCAGTCAGGCTGCTTCTATAATGCTTTGTCTGAGTGTGATCTGGCTTAGATTTTTTAATTTAAGCCCAGAAACCCAAGAACCTGCCAGGGACAGGAACTCTTCTTGGAATCTTCCTGAAATGCAAACAGTGTGAAGGTCACTGAAAACTTCATCCAACATGTATTTATATTTGTCTCGTAAACTCTGGAGGAGAATTTTCCAGGAGACGGTGGTGTCTCGGGAGACTTCTTGCTGAGGCTCCCGTAACTCATTTCTGTTTTTCTTGGCCTCTGCTTCTTGAAAGGAAAAGGGAACTCAGTGAAAAATGTTAAACAAGGCCAAAGATATAAATATATTTTAAAAGCACTAAATAAAAAGTGCTTGAAAGCACTGCTACAGAGGGATTTCTCAGCCACGGGTGCCAGAGGACTAGCTTTAGCACCCACAAGTGTTCTCCCTCCAGGCTCCCTAGAGCCCCAGTCTTCCAGGCTCTGTTGTCTCACTGACAGGTGGCTGGGTGTGAGAGGTGGATAAATCAAGTGAGCCCTCTGCAAAATGCTCCAGGTAGTAAGTGGGGGCACCTCCAGATGTCTGTACTGCATCATCCTCCTGTAGGAATGTATTTAAAATATGCACAGGTTGAAAGTCCTAGAAAGATGGAGATTCATTTCTTACCAGCTGCATGTATTATTTTTTTTTACATAGAGTAAAAATAAACTTTTTTTGGCATAGAGTTCTATGAGATTTCACACAGGCATCAGTTCACGCAATCACCAGCACCATGGGAATGTAGAATACTTCCACCACCTCAGCAAATCCCTTCATGCCATTCGTGGGCACACCCTCCCCTGCCCCCAAACCCTGGCCACCACTGATCTGTTATCATGACCAGTCTGTGTTCTTCAATCATTCATGTGAATGTCATGATACATATATGACCTGTTGAGATTGGCTTCTGTCACACAGCATAATGTCCTCAGGATTCCTCTAGTTGTCACCTGTATTAGCATTGTGTTCCTTCTTGACTGCTGGGTAGTATTCCACTGTAGGGTTGTCAGGTAGACAGGAGGATGGCTCTCCCAAGACATCTTCATCTTAAGTGTGAGAACCAGTGACTGTGTTACATTACATGACAAGGGGAACTTTACCGATGGTTTCAATTGAGGATCTTGATGTTTGGATAGTTTCCTGGATTACTGATAGGTGGTCTCGATGTCATCACGAGATTCCTTGAAGAGAGAGGAAAGTGGGCCAGAGTCAGGAAAAAGGTGTTGTGATAGCAGAAGCCAAGTTTGGACTGGTGTACTTTGAAGATGAAGGAAGGGGCCAAAGGCCTAGGGATGCAGGGGATTGCTCTACACCCTGAAAAGTGCAATAAAACGGGCTGTACTCTGAGCCTCCAGAAAGAACACAGCCCCAAGAACACCTTGATATTAGCCTCGTAAGTCTTGTTTTGGACTTTTGCTTTCCAGGACTGTAAGATAACAAACCTGTGTTGTGTTAAGCCACTATAGAACTGTGAGCTAATAAATAGATATTTTCTTAGGCCATTACTTTGTGGGAATTTATGATTAGCCATAGGAAATGAATAAAAGTGTCAAGGATACAATAGTCTCTTTTTTCAGTTTTTTAAAATACTATTTGCTTGATTATGCTATTACAGTTTTCCTAAGTTTTTCCCTTTTATTCCCCCCACCCCCTGCTCCTCCAGCCCTCCAGCATTTCCCACCTTAGTTCATGTCCATGGGTTGTACATAGAAGTTCTTTGAGTCCTCTATTTTCTACACCATTTTTATCTCTCCCCATGTATTTTATGCCTACTAATTATGCTTCCTCTTTCCTGTACCTTTTCCCCCTATTCCTCCCTCCCCCTCCCCACTGAAATCCCTCCATGTGATGTCCATTTCTCTGATTCTGTTCCTGTTCTGGTTGTTTGCTTAGTTTTTGTTTTCATTGTTTTTCTTTTCTTTTAGGTTTATTTGTTGATAGTTGTGAGTTTGTTGTCATTTTATTATTCATTTTTTTAATCTTGCTTTTCTTAGATAACTCCCTTTAATGTTTCATATAACAATGGCTCGGTGATGATGAACTTCTTTAAATTGACTTTATCTGGAAGCACTTTATCTGTCCTTCCATTCTGAATGATAGCTTTGCTGGATAGAGCAACCTTGGACATAGGTCCTTGCCTTTCATGACTTGGAATACTTCTTTCCAGCCCCTTCTTGCCTGTAAGCTTTCTTTTGAGAAATCAGCTGATAGCCTTATGGGCGCCCCTTTATAGGGAACTTTCTCCTTTCCCCTTGCTTCTTTTAGGATTCTCTCTTTATATCTAATCTTGCATAACTTAATGATGATGTGCCTTAGTGTGTTCCTCTTTGGGTCCAACTTCTTTGGGACTCTCTGAGCTTCCTGGACTTCCTGGAAGTCTATTGCCTTCGCCAGATTGCAGAAGTTTTCCTTTATTATTTGTTCAAATAAGTTTTTAATTTCTTGCTGTTGTTCTTCTCCTTCTGGAACCCCTATAATTTGGATATTGGAATGTTTCAGGTTGTCCCAGAGGTATGTAAGACTCTCTTCACTTTTTAAAATTCTTTTTTCTTCATTTTGTTCTGGTTGGATGTTTATTTTTTCATTTTGTTCCAGATTGTTGCTTTGAGACCTGGTTTCCTTCCTGTCACTGTTGGTTCCCTGAGTATTTTGCTTTATTTCACTTTGGGTATTCTTCATTTGTTTTTTTCATTT